GGCCCGCGGCCACGGCCGGGGGGCCCGCCGCGATGGCCGCCGCCGGGCCGCGCGTCGGAGCTGGCACGGCGGGAGACGGGGTGCAGGCCCTGGGGCCCGCCGCCCATCCCCCGGGAGCCCGCGGGGGACATGGGCGGCCCGCCATAGCCGCCGCCGTACATGGGCATGCCCTGGGCGTGGAAGGCCAGCATGGGGTCCGCCCCGGGGCGGATGGGCACATAGCCGTACTGGGGGATAGGCATGTAGGCCGCGCCGCCGGGCGGGGCGTAGGGCATGGAGCCGCCCGCCGGGTAGAGCGCCATGCCGCCCGGGATGTGGGCGGCCATCATGCCGGGGGGGACCATGCCCTGCCCCGGGTACATGTGGTAGGGGCTCATCGCCACCATCTGCGTTGAGAAGAAAGGGAGAAGCAATAGGAGGTTCAGATCTTTCGGTGGACACAGGGTCCACAAACTCAGTCTGATGAAGTTGGGGCCATGTGGGGCAGGCGAAGGGTTCCGAGGCCAGATCTCGGTTTTCCATCAGGAAGGGCAACCTGCGCCACCTCCCGCAGCCCCGCTGCATGCAGGCAAGCATGTGCCTGTGACTCACCCCAGGACCAGGGTAGCCTTGCGGATACACGGGCTGGTAGTGGGATGGGGACACATGCGGAGTGCCATCCGGCTTCGGGCCGAGCTCGGGGAACTGCGAGACAGGAGGGGGCCATGGGGCAGTGTCGAGCCGGCATGCCAGGGTGTGAGCAGCAGTGCAGCTTGCCATGTCCACAGTGCAGTCCCTTCCCCGACGGTGCATGCAGGAGGAAGGCGCGACACACGAGTCGCCCGGCGCGCACACGAATCCCACAGCAGCCGGCCTGCACGGCGCCCGCTCCCCTCCCATGCCAACCTCGGTGGAGTAGGTGGGCCGGAGGTACAGGCTGTTGGGATCTTCGGGCGCATAGGAGCCCTGGTCGAAGCGTGGGGAGAACCTCCCGCGCCGGAAGTCTGGGTCCGCCATGTCCTCCTGCTTGTTGCGCAGCTGGGCCTTGCGCCCGTACGCCCCCACCCCAGGCTGCCCCTGGCTGGGGGGCGGGGGTGGCGGCTGGTGGGGGGGCGCCAGGGCCAGGGGCGATGGCGCGGTGCCCCTGGGGCTCAGGTATCCATCCAAGGACCCGCCGCGCAGCGGCACAAACGCGCCGCCGCCATGACCGTGCCCGCTGAAGCCCCGGGGCGAGGACTGGGCGCCGGGGTGGCCGCCGCCGCCGCCCAGCTGCGTCGGCGGGGGGGGTGCTGCACGCCGCCGCCGCTGACGCCGCCACCCTGGCTGTCTGCGAAGATGCGGGCGCGCGCCTGGGCATACACCGCCTCCCTGTCCTCGTTGGAGTTGAACTGAAGGTAGTTGGCGCCTGGGTGGGAGCCGCTGCTGCCCTCCACGGAGTGCCGTCCGGTCTGGCGCTCGGGCCGGCGCCTGACCAGAACGCGCGGCGTGGCGCCGGGAGCACCCCCGCCGGGGCCGCTAGGCATCTGGGGGAGGGGCCCCACCGAGGTGGCGGCGTACAGCGGGCTCTCGGCCAGGGCGACAGGGACGTCCATCAACTTGATCTGAAAGGAAGGAGGTGTGGGGGGTTGGGCCCAGCTTCAGGAGCCTGCTGAGGCAGCTGGTCCGCGGCCTGGGCCGGTAGCGGAGCGAGGGAGGGTATGCATGCACGGCCCGGCCTGCAGGGCATGGGCCACCCTCTCACCGAGGGACTGCCGGTGTGGAAGGAGCGGGATGCGAGGATGCGTCCCTGGTCGGGGCCTTGGCTGATGATCGTGGTTTCCAGGCCCCAGTGCTGAGCCACACGGTGTGCCAGCAGCCTCTGGTGGGGGGGCGGGCAGGGGACATGAGCATGATAGATTCAAGCGGGGGAGCCGTCATGGTGCCCCAGGCATGGGTGGCGGCTGTCGGAGCGCAGACCGTCCTCCTCCCGAGCCCTGATCCCTGCCCCATGCCCAGCGATGCACGCACCTCATACGACGACATGTCCCCCGTGAACACAAACTGCGGTTCGCGGCTGTTGGACACGAACCAAGAGACATCGGCTTCGAGTTGTAGCACTGCGGGGTGGCGCGGGGTGTGGAAGGTGGTCATGGGGTCTGGAGGACACTGCCTCCCAGAATGACGGCCCCCCTCCATGCTGCCCGCAGTACTACGAGCAGACGCGATCCGTTTCGGGAGAGGCAGCGCGGCGGTTGGAGTAACCCCTGCGTGCCCAAACGCACCCACAGCACGGTTCTTTGGGTGGCAGAGGGCGTCCCGCAGCGCATGGTCGACGGATTGCACCGCCTTCTCAAGAGATTGTTCCGCGGGGGGAGGGGCAGGAAGGGGCGCCTCCGCTCTGCGGGAAACGGATCATGCGCAGGGAGGAAAGAAATGTAAGACGGCGACGGATGGTGGGGACGGGGCATCGGACCTCGCATTCATGGACATGTATGAAGCTACCCCTTCGCGGCAGGGCCACTCACCCCGAAGCATCGTCCGGCGTCACACTGCCGGATTGAGAGGGAGGTGTAGCCCCCTCCGTACCCAGAATAGATAGATCTTGCAGTCTAGCGTCCACATCTTCCCAACTTTCGGCCCCCTGGGCCATGGCCGAGTTGAGCAGGGACCACCAGGGGGAGACAGGGTCGCGGGATAGTACGAAAGGTTACTGGCTCGGAGAGCCTCCGGTACACCAGCGGAAATGGATGGATTCAAGGCGGCGAGAGTGGGTAGACAAGGTAAAGGGGGGCCACCGATGTCCGGGACCCCCTCGATGTCTGCAGGGGAGGAGGGGGGAGTGGCGATCTCCTGAATCAAGCAGCGCGCATGTGTGGAATCAGGTCCGGCGGAAGGGAATCCTGGGTGGGCTTCGACATGAATGCTCGCTCTAAATTTTGCGTCTCAACACCTATAGGTATCTATCTTAGACTCAAGGTTGCACTCGGTGCTCGGTGGGCATGGCGGTGGTCTTCGAGGACGTGACTGATCAGCCAGAGGCGACGCCCACGTCTACAGAGTCTGAGCCCCCAAAGACAGACTCCATCACATACTCGGATGCGCCGATTGTGATCCCTGATCCTTCAGGAGATGTCCCTGAGGAGTGCGAGGCGAACGCCGCCTCCAGCTCCGAGCAGGTTGGTGGGGAGTGCCTGGATCGTGCTCAGGGCAGTCTCTGCCTTTCGGGGGGCGCTCGCACGACGCAGCAGCTGATTTTGACTCACGGCGTCGATCCACAGGATCCCATAGAGCAGGCAGAAGCCCTGAAGGCAGAGGGAAACACTTACTTCAAGACTGGAGATGACGAGAAGGCCTACGTGCGTGCGGTGCAGGGTGCCTGGTGTTGTTGTGGGGTGTTGTTGTTGTGGGGTGTGGCATTTCAGGAGCGACCCAGCCTGCTGATCACTCAGCTCTGTCTGCCAGTGTGTCAGCGGAACGTCCTTCCTTTTAAAAGTCATGTCCATTCTTCAACACCCCCCCTCCCCCTCTGCTGCCTGCCTGCTCGCTGAACATTGTATTGCCCCAGCGCTGCAGGAGCTGTACACGGCAGCCTTGGAGGTGGCGCCTGCGGAGGCGACGCAACGAGCCGTGTACCACTGCAACCGCGCGGCATGCTCCCTCCGACTGGCGCGGCACGCCGAGGTCGTCACGGACTGCAGCCACGCGCTGGAGCTAGACCCAACCTACGGCAAGGCGCTGATGCGCAGGGCCGCTGCTTATGAAGCCCTGGACGACCTGGAACATGCCCTGCTGGATTTTGACAAGGTGGGCTGCATGCCAGCGGTTACAAGTGTGGGCCAGGATGGCCAGGGTACCCCAGCACATGCCTCGGGCATGCCCCTGGCAAGCCGGAGCCCGGCATGGTCCGGACCCCCCTCGAGGCCTCAAGTACGGCCCCCTGCATGACCATTGGTGCCCACTCCATGCAAGCGCGTAGGCAGTAGAGCTAGATGCAGGGAACAGCGCCGCTGGTGCTGCGGCGGCGCGCCTCCGACCTGTCGTGGAGGAGAGGAGGGAGAAGCTCAAAGACGAGATGCTGGGTGAGCCTACTTCGTCGCTTGGGGTGCTTGGACCAGATGTCTCTAAAAGACGTCGACCTGGCCTGACTTGCTGATTCAGTCTCGAAGCCATGGACTGATCATTGCCACCTTTCACGTTGGCCCTGCATGACCTGCGCAGGCAAGCTCAAGGAGCTGGGAAATACAGTACTCGGCAAGTTCGGGATGAGTCTCGACAACTTCAAGGCAGAGAAGGACCCAGCCACCGGCTCTTACAGCATCAAATTTGGACAGTGATGCTCCACAGTCTGAACCATTAACTGATGTCTCGAGAGCATGTATGTTATGCCCGTTCCATCAGGATGGGGAGTATCGCCTATGATGGCATGGGGAGGTGGGTTGCAAAGTAGCGCAGGACCTGATTCTCGCGCGCAAAAGAAGGTCTTGGATCTCGACTTTCCTACGTTCCCCAGAGTCCCTGCACGCCTTTGCAACGAGGGAAGACTCGTTGTATCTGTTTCCGCAATTGCATGTAAGCGCAACGTCCCGGTGCCGAGCCTCTTTTTGCTTTGAGCTCCGTAGCAGTAGCGGAGCAGAGACTACGAAACGCCTTGCGACTCAGCTCAGCTTCTGGAGCTCCTGCAGGCACTGCCGAACACCGAGAATATAGTTGCCAGCACACCAAATATGACCAGGGTATGACACGTCCGAAAGCTCCCAAGACCAAGACCACACCCGGACAGAGCCCTCCCACCAGTCCCATGCCCGGCAGTAGGAAGAGAGGGGCCGATGCCGGTAGCCCTGCAAAAGACAAGGCAGCTGCAGAGGTCGTAGACCTGGAGAAGCGGCGCCTCGCTGTGGCCGAGGAGCTACGGCATGTAGAGCAACAGGTGCTTGTTTGCAGCATACATTTTCCGCTGGTGGTTAGCATCACTTTTGAGATTTGCTTCATGAAACCCCAAAGCTCATGCCTCTGCCTCCTTCTGACCAAGCGCAGATCTACGACCTGGAGACCAAGTACTTGGAGACCTCCAGCCCGTTTGGCAATGCTGTCAGGGGTACGTGGGGCGTGGATTCCGGCCAGAACAGCAGTTGAGTGGTGCAGATGGTGGCGGATTGTGCCGCACTGCGCACACCGACATCGTCGCCACTTGCCGCGATTGCAGGGTATGAAGGATTTCTGGGCGGATCATCTGTTGCAAACCGTAAGATGGTGTTGAAGCCGGAGGAGCGCCTGTTCAGCTGGTCGAGCGTGTCAGGACAGACTCTTGTCAAGCAGTAGCGACCGGAGCCAGCCCGCTGGGCATCGGCACATGATTTGCGTCTGCACTCAGTTGTTCAATGTCAGCCCAGGGCTCTAACGATTGTTGTGGACCTTACCCACTATCATTGCCACTGATCTGGAGTCGTCTCCTTTGCGCTTCAGTGCAATTTTCCAGGACCAAGCTGAAGCCTTTTGTCCCACGCCTCCATGGTACAAGTAACACAAACAACAGCATCAGACACGGCAGGCACACACAACAAGGTCTGGACATTGCAAGCTTGCTTGATGGACACCCTGCATAGGTGAGTGATGTTGTTGCACACAACTGAGGGAGCGGGCTCAATGCTGCAGCTCTGGATGACAGTGCCCACCCTCACAATGGTCCTCCAGTCGGGTTCAGACGTACGCTCTCCCTGCAAAGGAAAGGGTTGACGGCATTGGGACCTGGTTCCTCAACGAGCATGCAAGAATATGGCATCAGCTGGCCGCAAAGCCTACCCACTGGGCCCCGGGCCTTGATCCGCCATCCCATCCTTCTCACACCCAAGCGTCAGGCTCCCTTGCCTGGTGTCAGGAGCCTGGTATCCGCCTGAATAGTCGTCTTCCTCGTCATCCACGGCATGCTGCACAGGGGGCGGGCCCTTGCCGTTGCGACGCGGGCTCAGCAGCTTCCTGCCGGCTTCTGGGTCAGCTCGGTCCTCCAGCGGCATGTAATCCCGCCTGTCGATGCAGTCAGAGTGAGGATCAGGTGGAACCAGGCAGTGTTGATAACTTTCAGCCCTCAAAGAGTACAGTCAAGCAGTCCTCCAAGCAGGGGAGCGGCTTGGACTATTGATGCACTCTGCCCTTGCTGTACGCTGCATCCTGAGCCCCACCCCAACACCTGTTCCTCACATGATCGCGCGGATCTCATCCTGCATGGCGTGCTGTGTTCTCCAGCGATACACAGTGATGCCCGCCACAGAAGTCGACACAACCGCAGCTGCCATGGGTGGGGGGAGGGCAGGTGATTCAACAATTCCATTTCCGTGAGGCAGGAGGAATTTGAATCTATCGGCAATGTCAGGATGTGGTCCCCCAAACACAAATTCCACCCAATGCCACCTGCAGTGAGCACCAGGATCAGCCACACCGGCAACCCTGTCGCGCCAGGGATGGGGATGCAGACGCCAGGCACCCCGGGACTGCCTCCCAGCTGCAGTGTGTGGGGGAAAGGGTGGGAAGGTTGGGGGGGGCGATGCCGCAGTACAGGCAGTCCCGCCGCCTGGAACTCGACCATTCATCAGCTTATATCAACAAGGTAGTGCCAGGTTGGTGAGCAGCACAGCTCTGACGCTGCCTTCACCCCCAGACCACGGCCTGTCAACATGCCTTCCCCCCACTCGCCTCCCTTACACAGACCTGTAGACCCACCCCTCTCACCAGCTTGTAGCCCTTGTTACACTCGCAGCGGAAGCTCCCAGGCGTGTTGATGCAGACCTGCTCGCAGTTGTGCAGCTCTGTCGCGCACTCGTCTATGTCGGTGCAGTGGTACCCGTCCCCAATCCAGCCTGGGCAAGTGTGTTTTGGGGACGGAGATGTTGTGAGACTCTTGCAAGTGTCATTGGGTGGGATCGCATGCCTCCAGATCGAGGGATGCACCGACTCCCACGTGCCTAGAGCAAGGGAAAGTAGTCATCCCCCTCATCCAGTGCCCTCCATCACAGCTCACACACACCTGCTCCCGGTTCTTTCCAGCCCACCCTCGTTCCACCCCCATCCACCCCCCCCAAAAAAAGAGGAAAAGGGGTGCGGCACCTTCCGGGCAGTGGCAGACGTAGCCCCGGAAGGTGTCGACGCAGGCGCTGAAGCCATTCTCCTTCCAGCAGGTGTCCACGCCCTGCGTGCACTCATCCACGTTGACCCCCGGGTTCAGGCACGCGGGCGGCTCGGTGCCCTCGGCGAACCCAGCGCACAGCGCGCGCAGCACGCCGGCGTTGTTCAGCCGCCCGCGGTACTGGTTGGTGTTCACCACCAGCGTGGGCAGCATGATGACACGGCCCATGGGACCGCGCTCGTTCTGCGCGCGCACCTGCGCGTCCAGCAGCGGGTGCGCCTCGCCCGAGTCCAGCGACCCCACACATCCGCCCACGGCGTTGGTGTCCACGCCCAGGTCGCGCAGCTGCTGCTCGGAGCAGGCGGTGGTGAACTGGCCGGCCTCGGGGCGGCAGTGCGCCGCGAAGCGCGCGGCGTACTCCCACCACTGCCACGCCTTCTTCGTCTCATTCAGCACCTTGTGCACGCAGAGGTGCCGCAGGTCCTGCTCCACGATCTGTGGGTGGGTGGGTGGGTGGGTGTTCTTTTTGGGGGGGGGGGGGGGTATTGGTGATTGAATTCTAGGACCAGTGCTGCCAGAATGGAAGAGCGCACATTCCCACCCCCTGTTGAGGGGCGGGGACAGACTGCAGGGCGCCCCAGCCCAGGCAGCGCGCAGCACGGCGGTCAACCTCATCCAAGAAACAAGGAACAGACAATGAAGGCTCCACTCACGGCACGCCCGGTGAGCTCCCCCGCCGCGCCCGTGGACGAGGCGGTGGTGGAGCAGTACTTGCCGCCGCGGATGCAGTTGCGGTGGCACAGCTCCTCCGAGGTCCAGACGCTGCAGGACCCCAGCATGACGTGGGGGGTAAAGGCGGTGAAGCCCTCCTGCTCCAGGCTCACCGCGCTGTCCTTGAACTGGGCCAGGAAGGAGGAGGTGGCGGAGCAGGCCTGCCCGCAGGCGGTGTTGGTGCTGAACCACAGCTCCCACTCCACGCGGTTGTCGGGGTGCACAATCGACTCCTTCCAGTCAAACTCCACGATCACCGCGCCCTGGTCGGCGGCCAGGGCGCTCTGGATCCGGTCACCGGCGTCCTGGCGAGGGGATGGGAGGATTTGAGGGGTGGGGAGGGAATGATGTCGTTCAGGGCACACAGGTGCTGAAGAGGTGTCTGGCCCCTGGTATGCAACGGCATTGGGCCCTCCCTGTGCATGATTGATAAGAGCACGCAGGGGCACGGCAAGGCTGGACCACAAGTGGCGAGCTCCCTGGAATGCCGCCTCTTCTGCATTAGGACCACAGGACTCGCATGCACTCCCTCATCTTGCACATCCCCCATCCACCGGCCCGGCCCGCCCACCTTCTGCACCAGGGCCACCGGGATGGCGATCTTTGGCACCAGGGCTGCAATGTCCGGGCGGTCCTCCGGGATGGCCATGGTCAGCAGGTGCTCCTGGATGTTGTCGGCCACGATGACGGCCTTGGCGCCAGCCAGCTGGGCATGGTAGGCCTTCTCCACGAAGAAGCAGTCGCCGCGGATGGCCAGTAGGATCTCCACGCCCTCAGGCAGGGACCCCGTGAAGTTGGAGCAGCCCTTGGGGTTGGCGGCCAGGTGCCCGATCCGACCTTGGAGGGTGCCACCGTAGAGGGGGACCCCGAAGTCGCCAATGGCGGAGTCGTAGCTTCCGGCGTAGCTGGCCGGCTCCTTGATGCGCAGGGCGTTCGTCTCGACACGGAAACTGGCAGCCAGGGCGCCGCGGGGGGCCAGGAGGGCGGTGACGAGGAAGGCCAGGGCCAGCGCGGAGGGCAGGTGCAGGGATGGCATGGTCCGAGACGGGGAGTGGCGAGGCGCCCTTTGAACCGTGTGGCCGGGGGAGGGGGAGGCAGGCCGTCGCGTCTAGAGCAGCTCTACGTCAAGCTGCGGATACCCTGGAGCCCCACCTCAGACGTGTGGAAGCGATGGGACAGGAATGGCAGGCTCAGGTGCGGTGTCCAGTGCCTGGGCGCACGACCTCCTGGCTACAAGTGATCTGAGACTCACAGCGCCCCCCAGGATCTCCTCGAAATTCCTTTACTGTTTTAATGGTCCCGAGAGCTCGATCTGGTGCAGTCCCGTTCCTCATGTGTCCAGGCATGGCCTGCTTGACAGGAGTGTCCGACGGAGGGAACAAGGTAGGAACCCTGCAGTACAGTTGCGGGTGTACCGGCACCTGGGGGAAGATGTCATGGTTCTACATGGGTGGGGCTCCGCCACCGGCATTCAGCATAAAATTCGGCAAGCTATTCTCCGTTCCTCTGCGCAACATCCAGAGCATGCACCCCCGGGTTCGGAAATGGGGTGGCTGTCTCCATGGACATCCACTAGCCCCAGTTCATGCCAGCTGCTTGAGGGGTCGCCGCGCCGCGGCCGGCCTGCAGCCCCGCCCGAGGCCGATGGCCTCCAGCTGAGCCAGCTTCTCCTTGGGTAGCTGCGTGTCGGGGTGGACCTGGAGATCCACCCAGGCCGCCAGCTGGGGGTCCACGGAGGGCAGCTCGGATGCCTGGTGGGTTTTTGGGTGCGGGGGGAGCAGGTGGGTGTGATCCTTCCAATGCATCAAGGGGCAATGCAAATCGCCACAGAGTGTGTCAGCTCGTGCAGGGTGAAAGTTCCTGACCACCTGCGCCCCCAACTGCATCGCAGCACCACCTCTCGACGCACAAAATCCGCCCCTTTACCCCATCCTTCCACCCACCCGGAGCGGCGTGGTCCAGGAGGATAGGACGAGCCACCTGCTGAGCATGGCATCCCACTCCAGGTCCTCAGCGCTCCTGCCCTCCCCCTCCCCGACGCCCAAACCCCTGAGCAGGGCGGCCTGCGCAGGTGGCAGCAGGCCCAGCGTGCCCAGCGCCCGCTGCCGCCGGAGCCAGAGCCGGGCCTCGCGCGACGGGGTGAGACCCCGCGCCGCCGCCGCCAGCCTCCCCCGCCAGGCCTGCAGCGCGGCATCCTCGGCTTCGCCCTCCGCCCGCGCCTCGCCTGCCTCCAGCACCCAGGACAGGTCCAGGAAGGCGAGGAAGCGCCGCTGCGCGGGGGACAGCACGCCCTCGCGGTACGCGGCCAGCACCGAGCGCGCCCAGCGCACCACCGCCATTCTGCGGCTGCCGCCCTGGGCGCTGCGCCCGGCGCCGGGCGCAGCGCGCGTGGACCCCGTCCAGGCCTGGGAGGGGCCCGCCAGCGGGCCCTCCTTCCCCTCCTGCCTCAGGCCAGGGCTTGCGACGGAGGCCCACCGCTCTGCGCCCCCGGGGAGAGCGATGTCAGCGGTGCCCAAGAAGGCGGCCGCGTCGACGGCGGCCTGCTGCCAGTCGCGTGAGGACATGGCCCCGCCGACGTCCAGATCCACGCCGGAGACGTGCAGCAGCTCCGCGCGGGCGCGGTCCAGGCGCCCGCGCGCCCACAGCCAGCGCTGGCGGGAGAGCCAGAAGCCGAGTCCGGGGTCGAGCACCGCATCGGAGGCGGCCAGCCGCCGTGCTGTCATGTGGGAGGTCCAGGAGGCGCTCGGGGGGGTGGGCAAGGGGGTGGCGGGGTGGGGTGAATGGGAGCCGGGGTGGGAGGCGGGGTACGGCGGGGCCGGCGACGCGCCGGGGTACGCGCGCCGCGCTCGCCCCGCCTCCTCGCCGGGGCGGGCCTTGGGCGGGCGGCCCAGCTTCGGCTGGTCTAGGCCCTTGGGCAGGGCGCCAGGGGATGTGACCACACCCTGGCTCATCCTCTGGTGCTCGATGTGGTACAGGAGCTGCCCAAACTTGCTCAACCAGACGTAGTCGGGGTGAGAGGTGGACTGCGGGGGCAAAGGGGTGGCCATCCTCAGGAGACCAGCACGTTCAGGAGGAGACGAACGATATCATTATTGCAATTGCCCTTCTACCTGCATGATCCCTTGCACATCGGCATTGCAACCCACAATGGCACGATAACCACTGCGTTGCAGCCTAAAATCTCACCGTGGGGTGCCACTGGATGTTCAGGATTTCAAACCTCTGGAGCGCAGACTGCGGCAGGATGCGCCGCCTGTGGTACTCCCGCTGCAGGATGAGCCACCTGGCCAGCTCCAATCCTGATTGGGGGGGTCAGTTGATGAGTGATATGCGACGTGCAAGGGTTGCAAAGGACGTGACCCACAAGCTAAAAAGAGTGAGAGTGGCAATGGATCAGCAAAAGCATCCGATGTGTCAGGCAGCGCCGCGGCATCACCGCACCACCACCTACCCTGACTGCCCCCAAAGCAGCTCCATCCCAGGCCTAGCCAGGGGAAGGGCCGCTGCTGCCCTCGGTGCCAGAGAATCAGCTCGAAGAGCTGAAGGGAAAAGGGGGACGAGGGCGCATTGTGACACACAGGCCATAGCCCATCTGTCAATACCCATTCAATGCGCATGGAAAGAGGTCAGGGCGCTTCTGGACATGCCAGCGCTGCCTTTGTCAGCAACACCCAGACTCCCTCCCATACCCAGCACACACACGGGGCACGAACCTGGTCAAAATGCACCTCCCACTCCTCGGTCAGCTGGGCAACCTCCCCAAACTCAAAGCCCAGCGATTGCAGGAGCAGCAACCGGTCGTGCGAGAGCTGGTTGGTGCAGCGCAGGAGCCGCTGCCTCCTCACCCACGGTCCCAGGTCAGGGCTGGCCTCATACCTCTGCACGCAGGAAGAGAGTGGGAGGATTTGAATAAGCCAGCGACGGCATCCTGGGGCCCCTAGTGGACAGACACACGCGATTTAGCCAAGCATGCACAGGCCAAGTCTCGCACCAGGGGCACTTGGCAGTGACCGTGCGTGTAGATGAAGGCCGCCAGCTCGACCGCGCGCCGATCCCAGCGATCCCCTGTCGTGGGCTTGCAGAGCATGACCAGGGGGAAGCGGGAGAAGACGGCGCCCACGCCCTCTGGCCCTGCGTCGGGGGAAAGCAGGCTGATGGAGCGACCCGCAGGGAAGGACAGGGGGGGTGGGAAGGACCAACACACAGTCCGTGATGAGCTCTAGCGCGCAGCACAGACCACTATCCTTGTACATAGTAACCGTGCAATTTTTGCTCTGGCGCAGGCCATTGATGTCAAGGTGCAACACCGTGACATGCACCGTGCCAACGCGCGGCCAAGCCTTGCCCCAATGCTCACCTGGCGCGATATGGCACGAGGACTGGAGGTAGTCAGACACGATCTGCACGTTCCTGCGGAGGCGGGAGTAGCGCCGCCTGTCCACCAGGGGCCTGCCGTTGGGAGTCACCCTCCATGCCACCGCAACCCGAACGCAGCGTGTCACTTCGGCGAGGGGAACTCCAAAGGAGAGCAGGGACTCCTCCAGTGCGCCGGGCTGAGTCAAGGGAGCAGGCATGGTTGTTGGTGAATGTATGTGTGGATGTAGTAGTAGGTAGGTGGTGCATGGGAGGGTACAGTCCCTTGCAGCAGCCTTCTCCTGCCCCACACTGGGTAGCTGCTGATGCTGGTTGCAGACGCCGAGGGAGGACCCCTGCCAGCGTGACATGAGACCTGGTCCGCTAGATTGTCAGTTCAACCATGCACTCACATTGCCCAAGTCAAGGAGCCTGCCCGGAAGTGCTCACCGTGTCCTCTTCTTTGCTTTGCACCGGCCAGTGCTTGGCAGCGGGACTCACAGGCCGACGCTCTACATGCAGGTGAGGGAGGATCTCTTCGCCCCAGCCCTCTCCCCTGCGCTCCAAGCAGACCACCAGCTCCGTCTGGTCACTTCGCGACGCATCTTCCTTTTTCACCACGGGCTTGCTCGCGGGCAGGGCGGGGCGGCCGTCCCAGGGACGGCTGGCGGGCTGGTGCATGGAAAATCCATGCATGGGGGCTGTGCGGGTGTAGGCACCCGTGCGGCTTGGGCCCACGCGGACGTCGGAAACCATACAAAAGCGCTTAAACTGCACTCTTTGATGGACAACACCCGATCCGGCGCCATGTAATGTTAAGGCCCTGTCCGCCAAGCCGTTCATGGAGTTCATGGGCCGCCCGGACAGCCAATCAGTTACACGGGCCGAGTCTCTATCTATACAAACCGCTGCGCCTATCACCTTTCCATTATAATTTAAAATGCTACTGGCCTGCCGGAGTCTGGGATTTGTTTCGTCGGTGCCATGCTGTGCTGCTGGGAGTCGATCTGCTCTGATAGCCAATTAGATTGTCCCCGCGCGCAGAATCCTGCACACCGAGACTGGGGACCACCCACGGCCTTGTCTAGGGGATGAATAGACCAACAAAGCCAGCTGGTCGAGCATAAAAAGAGCGTATCCCGAGAGCAAGTAATGATAGGGTCACTCCCTGGCATGGTGCCTTGGGCGGAAATTCTTCAGGGGACCACACAGGCTTGCCCATGGCCGCTGCCTCTTCGCCATGCGACTAACAAGTTTCGGGCCTCACATCGATGCACGTACCCATGGCCCACGACCTTTTGTGTATACAATTCCAAGCCCTTGGGCGGATATCTTCTTGACTGTGGATAAGAGCTTTTGTATTCTTCTGCTTCAAGATTTCATCTGAACCACCCAACTGGCAGGACAAACCATACGAGGAAAACTGTCAAAGGCAGAGGGAGGGGATGCAAGCTTGTACACAGGAGATATTCTCTAGATGATATACGCTGAAATATTAATTCTATCATCCCCTCATGTTCAATGGTATAGATTTGGCATGGGCGACGTATAATCCTCTGCATACTCCTCCTGCCAGTCCTCGTCTTCCAGCTTCTTCAAGGTCAGAAACGTGTCTGTTCCATACCCTTGAATGGAGCGGACTTCTAAGTCGCCACCTGTGCGTGATGGCCAGGAAGTCTTGAAGAAGAGCTGGCAAAGAGGGGGTTGCAGGGCTTCTCTCCAACGCGTGGGGTCCCCAAACGGGGTGCCATGGTGTCATGCTATAGACCACCCAGCCAACCCCACCTCCTGCCCCATCCTCGGCTGACGTACCAAAGTATCGCGCATAGAGACGTGAAAGGGGGAGTCCGAACCCCAAGCCCCCCATCCTGAAGCGGTTGCCGCTGGTCACCGGTATCTGGGCAACCGACCAGCCCGCACCAAAGCTGGGGTCAAAGCCGAGCCCCTCAGTCCTCTCCACCCCATCAATCAGCTCCTTCCTGTGTATGGTCAGAGAGGAGCTTGGGCTACAGGCCCTCATCCAAGCAGCAAGCCTAATAAAACCTCCAACAGCATTTGCGACATCCGACCCTCCCTCTCACCCCATGGTGGTAAATCCAAACTCCCAAATCCTGTCCACCAGCGGCTGGGGGATGCCACCCCCCTCGTCAGACACCCTGGGTTGAGTGCGGGGATGGTTGCACGTGAGGATTGGGCAATGCCACCCCGCATGCGCACGGAGGCAAGCATGAGAGCAGGAGCGGAGCACAAGTCCACCGCCAGGCACACACACCTCAGCGTGACCTGCCCCTCGCCGCTGCAGATGCGGGCGTGGATGGCAGGGAGCCGGCGCTCCAGGGCGCTGTGCGCGCTTTGCTGCAGGTGCCGCTCCACCACCGCACGGCTGGAGTTCTTCAGCACCTCGTACACCATGTAGTCAAAGTGGGAGGGGACGTAGGGGATGGTCAGCCGTTTGTCCCCGGTGATGACGACGTCGGGCGCCAGGCCGTATGTCTCATTGCAGACCTGTGAGGGGAGGATAAGGGGGCCTGTAGCCGCGCAGAAGCAAACTGTGTGTGCCATGGATCCAATGCGTTCATCTCCCTGCCAATGAGGGATGCCCGATGTCCTGTTGTGCCTCCTCAGGCTGTTGATGGCGAGTTCAATGCAGGATGCCAATGGCCAGAGTCTACCCCTAAAAAAAGGCTAAGAACCATACGAAGACAGCACCCACCTGCCGGCAGCGCTGCCCTGCAAAGTCCACACCCTCGGCCACGCTCATGTTGGTGCAGATGACCCCGACGTACCCCGGCCGCCCCTGGTTTAGGTACATATGCTGCTCGGCCAGCGTGCGGCGGCTGATGCGGCTGCGCAGCATGTTCTCCAGGAAGCTGCGGGGAAGTTGAGGATCGGGGGAGGGGGGGCCCTCTGTCGGTGGGGTGCTGTGTGGGGCAAGGTGCCGCTGTGACCCCTGGTCCAGGGGTCACAGCGCATGCACGATTGCCTGTTGAACGGGGTGTGCAGTGCAGAGGAGACGCGCAAATAGCCTCTGGCATGCAGGGTGTCGCCAGTCCCATCCTCATCGGGGCAATTCGATTCGGGGTGCAAAGGTTGTGTCATGTGCCCCATGGCATGCTTCGACATTGGGCGCAATCCACAGTCCCCCCTCCCTGCCTCACGGGTCGAGGTGGAGCCGCTCGCCGACGAGGGGCCGGGACCTGACCTCACGCAGTCCGGTGGCCAGGTAATCCAGCATGGGCGCTGCACAGGGTGGGGCGAGCGGCTCTGATTGATACGGAGTGGCACAGCCGGAACCTGGATGACGAGCAGGTGCAGGCGACGGAGAGGCTGCTCCGTTAATCCCTACATTGGTCATCTCCTCCCCCAACCCCAACCCCTTCCTCCATACACGAAAACACACCATGATCGTCCACCAGGCGCTTGAGCAGGGCGGTGAACTCCTCGTTCTGCGCGAGGCTGGTGACGGGGGGGACGGCCAGCAAGGTCTGCAGGGTGTGAAAGTAGGCGGTGTACACGCGGTGGATGTGGGGGTTGGTCACCACCAGGTGAGGGAGGAGCTGGAGGTCCAGCAGGCGGCGCGCCAGGCGCTTGGGCAGCTCCTCCTGCACGAAGCGGGCGCTGGCGATCCTGCAGGCAGGGCCCTTCAGGGTGTCGCGCCCCATGTCCAGCATCCCCCGAAGGGTCAGCTGCACGATCGGCTGACGGGCATACTGCGCGCATGGAGAGGGGGCAGAGTGTAGGGGAAGGTGGCTTGGCGGCGCCAGTCTGGAAGGGCTGGCCTGTGATCCAGCCAGCAGGACACCGCCCTCCGCAGAGGCCCATGCTGCATGCATGCACGCCATGCTCGAGCCCAGGTCGCCTGCTAGCGAACTTCGAGGCCATGATGCGCAACATCCATGGTCCCTGGAAGCCTCCTCCCAGCGCACGTTCTCAATTGTGCTGTCGTAAAAGGAGTCCCGGACCTCCGACTCCTTGGGCCCGGGTGTCTCCGTCCAGACCCCACGAACAGCCCACCTCCCAGCTATGCCATGTGCTGGGCGCAGGAGTGCCAATGAAAGGCTCGGCATGCATCTCAGCATGGCCAGAGGCCGACGTCGAAGGGCCAATCGTCCCGTTGGGCTCCCTAGTGCAGGCGGTGCGTATCGCTCACGAGGGCAGAGCACCTTTGCATGGGCGCAGCCTCTGCCTCAATCCGGCAATAATAGAATGCTTATGAATATCATGGTTGGACGGGAGGATGTGATACGTGGGAGTACTAAATGCCTGGAAATCGACCGAGTCGATGTTCCGGAGCGCTTGGGCCGCCGTGACTTGTGTGTCGGGAGTTGTTCTCCAGGCAAAGTTGGAGGGTTCAGAGCAGGAACTGCTCAGATACGTAACAGAAACAAGGCAAATCCTTGGAGTTGGAAAAATACTATAGAGGAATCGATTTCAGGGAATGAGGAAGAGGAAGACGGATCCACACCTGTATGAGCGCTTCCCAAATTCTCCACAGCACATGGGTATATGCAACGTAACACTGCTCACTGAGGGCCTCTTCTCTTGTTAAAGACCCTGTCTGGATCGAGGTAGGCAGATGGATCCTCTACCACAAGGTAAGCACCGGTTGGCTCTCTCCTGCACAAATGGCAGTGCTGGGAGTCTGAGTGCCACGGAATGAGGTAAGGAGGCTAGTTTGGGGGCACCATATCTTGGCACAACCTTGGCCATCTCACTCATGGAGGCATTGGCTGCAAAATATGGACCTCGGCAAGCAAACGAAGCACACAGCCGCAATGTGCATGCAGAACGCAATCCGGTGAACAATTTCTCCCACTAAGAATCCATGCCTCACCCCTCCTCTGACGCTAGGCACGCTCTGAAATTCCTCCAAGCCGGCTGGATCTTGGCAGAGAGCTCGAAGGTGACCAGGGACTGCGCAGGTTGTGGAATAAGCACCGGTCTGAACATTTAGGTGTACTGCATTATCTCAACCTGCTCAGCCGCACCAGTTCAGGAAGTCACAGGGTAAACCATAGCGACGACAAAGATATACTGACCTGTATGAGATCCTCCAAGCGAGCATTGCACCGGTGTGGCTGAGGCTTCCTCGTGCCATTTACCGGCGAAGGCTCCTCGGCAGGCGCTTCCATATCCGCCAAGTTTTGCCAGGATGCGAAGAGAGGCTCCAATCTGTTTACTTCTGCTGTCAGAAGCTCATCGGCGAGTTGATCGACTCGGAAGGCTTGAATGTATTGCGGAGGTTGTAATAGTCGAGCCTGATGTCACACAGCGCGCAACGCAGCGCCCGCCCAACACATCCAGCTCCGTCTCGAGCACCTTGCATGTGTCGCAAGACTGTTGCTTTCTCAAGGTCTCATGGAGTAAATCTCACATGGTGTCACATTCTGTTTCATACGTACATCAAAGTCCCTATTGAAGCTCCAGCATCAACCTGTGTGCATGCCGACCGGGTGCATAGTAGTCCTGTGGGAGTTGATGGAGGACCAGCAATCAGGCAGGCAGTCACAGCCTGGGGCACAGCACCGACGCGGTGTGCTTATCTTGATACAGGGTAGCACCTGAGTTCCGGGATCACGACACTCACGCCACACAGGGAAGGCCTTGCCTGCAGGAAAGCATCCTCCTTGAATCCAGACGCCTTGTACAGAGCGAGTGCCGGCTCATTCACGGCGGCGACATGCAAGGAGAAGGTGCTGATACGGCGGGCGCGCTGTAGCTCACGGGTCACATGTTGAATGAGCCTCTTGGCATGCCCAGCCCGCCTGTGCAGCGGGCAGACAGCCAGCCGTGCAATGTGGGCTGCCAAGCTGTGTATGCTGTATAACATGTACGCCAACACCTGTTGCGCGTCAGTGAAGCGGCTGTGCAGGGCTGATGAGGCACTCGTTGCCGTGTTGTGCGATGCATGCATCTCACAGCGGCCGCCTGGCCAGCAAAGCTGGACCTGCAACAGCAACCACACTCACATGCTGATCCGCGTGCGTTGTCATGCATATGATGAAGGTGTTCCTCCGTCGTAGCTCCAGCGCCATGTCCCCTACGCGTGGTGGGTCGCGTGAAAGCTGGTAGTAGATACATGAACCCCAGAGTGCGCCGTCACAAGCCTGAAGCCGGCTGCTGATCTGTCTTTTGACCCTCGGAGCAACCCACTATGCCGCGCACACACCTCTCCAGGAGTCTGCCTTGGAGAAGCATTTCTTCTCAAGGGCTATAACCTGTTTGTACACCGCATCAGTTTCGGATCGGCACTGCACGAATCGATACCCTTCACACATGGCTACGTGAGCTGACTCGCGCTCGAAAAGCAAAGTCTCATCTCGTAGCACCTCGAAATGTTCAAGGCAAACAGGTCGACAGCTTGCAATATCCTCACCGATAAACCCCGACGAATGCGACAGATGCAGGCTTCATGCGGACCTCTTCGCGGAGTGAAGGACCGCCAACACTGCACGTGACAAGCTGAGCCTCCGATGATAAGTTCTCACAAAAATAGCAATGCATGAAGTATCATTCATCACTGTCCTGCTATTCGATGGGCGCCCCAGCAAGCGAGTCCATATCATTGCTCGTGCATGGGGGCCCTGTTCATTCAAGTTGGTATGTGCAGACCGCTGCTCTGTGGTATTCCTGCTCGCGTCGCCCCAGCGCGAGAATGCTAAGATTGCGCACAGGCGCCCCTCAAACCTGCGGCGCATCGTGCGGCGCGTGCTCCGCCAGGTGCTGGAGGAACAGCGCCTGCAGCAGGAGGGCCATCGCCCCTGACAGCAGCGCTGCAGCGGAGCAGACCGCGGCGGCCGCCGCCCACGGCAGGGCAGCGCTCGCGAGGCGGTGGGACAGCCCCCTTCCGTCACGGCAGTCGCCGCCGTTCAGCACGCCGATGCTGGGGTGACAGCGCAGAAAGAGCGCCAGCGCCTGGGCCACCACCCCCTCCCCGAACTTGCGGGCCAGGAGCGGGCAGTCCCTGCCCAGCGGGGCGAAACCCGCGGCGCGGCGCGCGGCCGCGGCGATGTCCTCCGGGGATGGCGCCGGGTCCTGGCCCAGCTGCAGGAAGCCGCCACGCACAGACCGGTTCTCCCGCTCGCCGTGCGCGCACTGGGCTAGGGAAGAGCGCCGCACGGCGGCCAGCAGGCCCAACCGTATGTCCCCTGGCGGAATGTGGGCAGCCAGGGTAGGGCAGTGAGGGTTCTTCGATCCCGCACCGGGAAGAGCAACAGGTGCCGAGTACTGGGAAGAATTGCAAGATCCGGTGATGATGACCAGGCAGATATCCCAGCCTCGATCCGGCGGCACAGCACAGAATGACACATTCGCTCCAGTCATGCTCACATCGAGTGTACTCGTATGGGTGTGGGGAGTACTTGTCCGCCCTCCGGTCCCAGTTGGCGTCTGGTGCAGGCGCGGGCAGGAGGGAGAGGAGGTATGTATGAGTCGTTGCGGGGCCTGAAGGGCACCTGGCATGTGTATCACCCCGCACAGAAGTCCATGGAACAGGGCCAGGCTCCATGGGGAATGGCTACCCAACAGCTTCTCACCAGTGGTACTCCCCGAACAGTCCGTCTCATTGTCCAGTCCATGGACAGCCAGGAGGGTGGGTATGTAGTGCTCGTCTAGAAAGGGGGAATGGGAAAGGAGGCCGTGAAAGATGAGCCTTGGCCGAGCACCAGCGTCAGGTTTGCTGGTGCAGGGCTCGGTGTGTGGAGGCCACGAGGGTTAGTTCCCCTCTGTCCCAGCCCACAGTAAGTCCCAGGCGTCGCCGGCCATGCTCCTGGCCACCGGCCCCGCAGGAAACCGTGCATGTGCTTCCTCAGCCGCCGCTGCTCCACCCACCAGAGTAGCAGACGCGGAACGTCCTCCACTCCGGCACCCAGCTGGGGCGGCAGTGCTGCTGGAACTGGGCCTCCACCTCCACATCTGCGACCACCAACCTCGCGTGGACGCGGCTCAGGGCAAACCACTGCCAGGACTTGCGCCAGTGATGCAGCTTGAGCGAGGCGCTCTCGAACTCGGGCACCCACCGCTGGTCGGCCGCGCGGTACCAGTGGCTCTCGTTGCAGGCATTCAAGCTGCTTTTTGGGCTGGACAGCAGCTGTTTGGAAAGAGGCGGGAGGGCCATGGGTGAGAGGCGGCAAGGCAGCCTGAGCGGCATGCTTTCTGGCTTTACAGGCCACCTCTGCAGCCGGCGATGCATGTGCTGGGTGAGAGAGGGGCCTGTTGCTGCAGCTGGATCACAGCCCAGAATTCCGCCGGCCCTGCCTGATCCCTTACACAAGCCCTCACTACAGCGTGATGAGGTTGCTCTGGTACACACTTCCCCCATGAGATGTGCCCCCACCCCTTCCACCCCCACCCCCTCCCCCACCCCGCCTCTACCTGGCGATACACCATGTGGGGACTGTACATGGGCAGCGTGGTCTCACTGACCAGCAGGAACTTGGCGTTCAGCGGCTCCTCCAGCGCCCTGCCCAGCAGCGCCTTGGTGGCGGTCACTAGGCTGTGCCCGCCCCACTCCGCCTCCACCCTGTCGTCGGGCGCCAGCTCGGTGCCGTGGAACAGAGACCCGGGCCTGTACCCTGGGGACGCGCCCCTCCGCGAGTGCACGTACAGCGTGAACAGGTGCTGCCGGGCCAGGCTGGGGTGCAGACCGGGCGTGGGGTCGGTGGGGCAGGCTGGGAGCGCCCCCTCCTCGGCCACAGCGGCGGGGAGCAGCCCCGCCAGCTGGTCCAGCCAGGCCGTCCAGGTCACCTCGTGCGGCATGGGACCCCGCACCAGGAACAACAGGGCCACCTGAGGCGTGTTTGGGGTGTGTGTTTGGGGGGGGGTCTAGAGGTTGAGCATGGGACTGGGCATGCAGCGAACCCAGGGGTGGATGTGGGTGTGGGAGGACCCGTGGCACACAGTTTTGGCAGACAAAGACCCTACCCCACAGAGCACCAGATTGGATGCCACAGGGGCCACTCCCGGGGCAGGCATGCTCCCTGCGGCAAAACCCAGAGGAGCAGCCACAAATCCATGTGCATGCCGGGCCGCTTTACCTGGGGCAGGGCCAAGCTGCGCGCACAGTCAGACGCACGGGAGAGGAGGCCCGGGAACGTGTAATTCCCGGCCTCTGCCCCAGCCTCTATGTCGCGACGGGAGGCCTGGCGGACCAGACGCTGCGCCCTGTCCAGCTGCCGCGTGTCCAGGGTGAATGCACACCAGGCTCCCAGCAGCACCGCCCCTACCAGCACGGCTGCCAGGCCCTTCCATTTCCAGTTCCGGTTGCAGGGCTTGGGGGAGGGGCCAGGATTTGGCAGGGGCAATGAGGTGGCCTCAGGCGTCCGCCCCGCAGGTCGCAGGGAGAGCTGGGACCCGCTTCGCCCCAGGGACTTCAACTTGGAGTGGATCATGAGGAGATCAGGACAGGTGCCATGTTTGGGAAGTGGGTGGAGCTGGTCTTGGTGTGAACCACATGCTCAGACTTCGGCGACAAGGCCTCGGAGGATTCAAGTTTATGGTGAGGTGAAGTTTTGGCTGACGTCGGGTGCGATGTACCACATTAAATCTTTACCTAAACTGCCTTCTCATTGCATTAGCAGTCCTACAATGGATCTGGCTGCCATCATCTGGCGGAATTTTGATGCTCATGGCCGGATGCGCCTCCCCCCTCGTCTGCACAGCACGCACCAGGGCGAAGGCCACACTTGATCATCGCAGCCTGCACTGCATTCACTGGAGCCGACACGGGAGCTCGGCATGGCATTGCAGCAGTGTCGAATGATTCATTGTACGGCTCGCTGAACCGTCGTTAATTTGAGGCCGTGCCCAGGGTGATGGCGGACGACGAGTTTGAGGCCCTGTACGGCACGAGCCCCGCCCCTGCTCCGGGAGCGCCAATTCACCAAGCCAGCTCGAGGATTTCAGCAGAAATTCGTGCTCCGAAGGATGATGGTGATCTTTTCGATCAGCTCTACGGCGCTCCAGCACCCCCCGACGAAGCCACCACATGCACAGGCACGGCCGGCTTGGGGCGGGACTAGGGATGCTATTGAGCTTGTAGAGTCGGTGTCTTGCCCCATCTTCCCGCGCCTTGGACTCCGATCGACGATGTGCACCTGCTGATCGGTTGCTATATGCTCCTACTGCCCACCTAAGTCACAGCAGGAACCACATGGGCGCAAGAGGATCCCTCCCCAAGCTCAAAGGGCGATGCGCAAGCGCCGCCGCCGCTTCCAGTGCCGGAGGAGGGGGAGGACAGCGACGATGACCTCATGATCACACTGGACGAGAATGCGACCGCATACGAGCCGGCTGCGCCACGATACACAACCCAGAGTGGGGTCATCCCAGGCGTCGGGCCTCCCGCGGGGGCGCACAGCTTTCGCGATCATCCCGCGACCAAGCACGAGGCGCCAGAGGTCCCTGGTCTCTTCCCATCCAGCGCTCCCCCCACGTACAACCAGGGTTATGGGGTCCAGCCAAACAGGCCAGCCATTGGGGGAGTGCCGCGCAGTGCGATCCCAGGTCTGGGTGGGGGCCCCGCCCAGCGCGGGTGGCAGAGTGCCAATGCCCCAAATGCGGGTGAGCGTCTCTGTGCAGAGGTTTTGGTGACGGTGTGTGCTGCTCTGCTGGCTGGCAGTGTCGAAAAGCCAATGCTGTCTGGGCTGGCACTCGGGGAGGGAACCTGAGGAGCAGGAGGGCATGAAGAGGCACAGCATGTGGCCAGCCATTGCCCAAGGAATACCCCTCAATCCTGCCGGCAACAGGATTGCCCACAGAGGAGCCTGCCTTCCAGTCTGAGGCAAAGCCTGGCCAGCCCATCAAACTTCCAGGGCAGGTGCGGACCGAGGCTGGGGTGGGAGGGTGCACATTGGCCCACCCCTCCATGCAGGCTGGGATGGCTGCGATCTACAGGACAGCGACGCCGTAGCCACCGTCGCATAGCAGATGTCTGTGGGCTGCAGGCTGTTGTCGCCACTTCCGTGCCAGAGTATGTTGAGCGGGGCCTTTTCTTCGCCACTCTTGTGTCAGCCTCTTGCCTCCTCGACACAGACGCGGGTAACGGCCGAGGAGTATCGCGAGTTCCTGTCCCTTGGTCACGGCGAGATCTTCTCCCTGGACATTGATCGTGTTGTTGATGCACCGTGGAGGTGAGGGAGTCTGGACTGACATGTGCGCTTGGCCACTTTGGCAAATCAAGAGGGCTGGGCTGCGGGAGCTTGCCTCCGACAAATGGTCCGGACCGGCCTCCCCTGCCACGCGCAGCAAACTCAAGAAGGCATCACTTTCTCTGCGCCCTGTGTAGGATCCCGGGCATTGATCCTTCTGACTTTTTCAACTACGGCCTGAATCAGAGGACGTGGAAGGAGTACACTGCCCGCATAGAGAAGTTTCGCCAAGAGTTCACCATGCAGGTGGGGTGCTCGTGCCTTGCCGGCGCAGAGAGAGGACGAGGATGGCCCTGGGACGGACCGGGCGACTCGCGCCCTGGTCTAATGTCATCTTTCATGCAGGGTCCCCCCCGTCCTTGACCACCATCAGACCCCAACTTGTCGACCTCCTCACAGAACCGGATCCAGACCCTGGATCAGGCCCTGCCCGGCCGGCAGGAAGCCACTGGCGCCACGCGGTACCCCAAGTCTGCCCCATCAGCAGCGAGCAGCGTCGCAGAGGCGATGTACCGGGCCTCTGTGACCAGCGAGAGGCCGGCGGTGAGGGAAGGGGGAGCCAGGAAGCGTGGAGGAAAATATGCAGGGTCTGATGTGAGTGCATCGCCCAGCTTCCAGATGGGCACTTGGTTTAGGCATTGGACGCCTTTGCCGGATGGCATCCCTATCTTGGGTCTTCTGCAGCTCCTCGGCTGTGCAGCTGCACCACCCAGCTGCCCTCAGCCGGGGCTGGAGCTCAACATGCGACCTGCCGTCCCTTCCCACACGCTTCCACTCCATCCTTGCCCGCGTCCCTGCAGCGTGTCACCCATGGGCGCTCCGGCAGTCCCTGGGACCACATCATCGTGCTGACGGATGGGTTGCTGCCCCCAGACCCCGCACCTGTCCGCACACAGGCGGCAGGCGCGCCACAGGGGCCGAGTCCCGCCCCCAGCGCAGGCGCCAAGCCCAACAGGCAAGGCCAAGACGCTGCCAAGGGGGGGCCGAGCCCTGCTGCGGCGCCGGGCGTGCCGCCCGGGCCCAGCGCACCAGAGCTGGCTGCTGCCAGGGCGCCCCCCTCGTTGCCAGGGCCGCCGCCGCCAGGTGCGCCCCCACCCCCGACAGGTGCCCAGCCCCGGATCAAGCCCCCTCCGCCCCCCGGCTCCCCCAAGCGGCAGCTGGACGTCCGGCACCTACCGTCCCCCAGTCTGATGCCTGCCCCTGCGCCCGTGGAGGGAGCGCCCGCCCTCCTTGCCAGCATGCTGCCGCCTCCATTCTCGCTGCCACCCAACTTCCCGCAGCCCTTCCTGAGCTCCAACCCAGGTGGGGGTACGGGGGAGGGAGGAGGGGTGCGCTTGGGGGTACACCAACAGCTTATGCGCGGTCTCGCAGGGCTGGCGCTCTATCTTGTGCGCTCCAGCCTCGCAAGTATCCTGAGCCACCCCCGTCTCCGGTGGTGCAGGGAAGACGGCCCAACCGCGCGCTGCCGCCAGGGAGCGCGGCAGTGACCGCCGAGACACGGAGCGAGATGAGGCACCCGCCGAGGGTCGGCGCGACGGCGGCCGTCCCAGGTCACCTGGAGCGGACCGACAGGAGGACAGGCGCGAGGGGGGAGTGGGAAGGGGAAAGGGATGTGCGCCCGTGTACCTTGCACTCATGCTTCCCACGTGCGAGTCCTTGCACGCATGCTTCCCACGCGCGAGTCCTTGCACCCATGCTTCCCACGCTCGACTCGCCCGCCCCGACCCTGTGCTCCCCACAGGCGCGACTTCCGATTCAGGGAGCGGGAGAGGGAGGACTGGCATGGTGGCTGGCCTGCGCATGCCGAGGCTGCCCGGGGTGCCTGGTGAGACGGGGCTCATCGGATGCTGGTCTGTGGCCTGGCAAGCGTGAGGCCAGCGACCATGCGGCAGGTCTGGGCCATCACTGGGGCCTGCACTGCGCCCGCAGGCGTGCACCACCTCGCCACGCGACACCCAGTCCACTCTCCATCGTCCGTTGCAGGCACAGACAGCAGGATCGAGGGGCGCGCTCGCCGCATTCGCCCGCACGGGATAGACCATCAGAGGCACGTGGCCGCCAGCGTGACGACCGATCCACATCACCCAAGCGGGCCCGGCGTGCAGATTCCAGGTACAAACGTTGATTGGTCGTGAAAGAAGGATGTAAGGACTCAGGCGTGGCCCACTGCAGCGCAGCTTTGCACACATCCAGTACGCCGCCCCCCTGGCGGCCAGCACCATCTGTGCGGGGATGAGCTCCATGAGAACGCCCCGAGCTGCGGCTCCCCCTCAGGGAGCGGGCATGGTCGAGGCGGGGTGCGGGTGAGCGGACGCTCGACGAGGGCTACAGGGGACGACGATGAGGGGCCTGCGTCAGGTATGCATGAGGGCACCCCCTACCTGCTGCCAGAATGACGGCTGTGCTCTGCATGCACGTTGTGCTGAGTCCCACCTGTGTGCCGGGTGCTGTCTGCCGGCACAGCCCGCTCAAGGTCTGCTCGGCCGGTCAAGGCTTGAACTTCATGCTTGGATATACCCCTATGAGCAGAGTGTGAGTTGTCGCTGGGCTGCTGGGACCCTTGAACGTATCTAACGAGTGACTTTGCACTCGGTGATTGGATTTTCATCCTTCTGCCACACCTGCAATGTGATACGAGGTGGACCTGCCTAGATCCTCGCTGAGCCTGGTGTCCTACGTCTGACCTTGTACACGATGTTGTGCAGTACACCACACACTGGCTGAAAGAGGGGCAGTTGTCGGCCGCTGCTGGGTGAGGTATATACGCCGAACAACAGACGCGTTCGCGCCCTGCGTGGACATCTTCAGCGTCCAGCTCAAACCCTTGTGAGTTTAAACTGGACGTGGAGTAACACATGGCTAAAACGTAGAACCTCCTTCATACGGCGAATGGGACCGTTCGATTTGCATACAGCCCAACTCTCAACTCGGCAACCTAGGCAGGTCCGTGGAGCCAGTACAAAAATGTGGTCGCCACAGTGACCCTGAAGAGTCTTCAGCCAGTGCTTCGAGGTGGGTCGCTGTGATTATTCCGCTTAATGACTTGGTAATCATTTATGTGAACGTTGCGACGAGTTTGGGGCTTCGTATTCTTGACCGTCTCTGTCAGGACACCACAGGCAACGCATCCACCGGACGTTGGCTACCTTCTTGCATAGGCTTGACTTCTCACGGGAATACCCTTTCAATTATACGGGCGCCGGGTTGGGATGACGCCGCGGCGGTGTCAGCAGGTCGGATGTCGCCTTGCTGATCGTCGCTTGACGACCTGCCTCCTGGTGGGTGAAGGGAATGGGTGCCGCGCCATCTCAGAAGTATGCCAAAGACTCGTGCACAGCTCGTGCAAAGTGCTCGTATCTGTGGACCACCAGCTGCAATCTGCGTTGATCGAGCGCCTGGCTTCACTCGGCCTGCTCTGGGATGCCAATTTAGACCGCCGCCTCCTGCTCCCAACCATACCCTTCCCCGCTGCTCAGACCTCGGTGGCTGTGCTTTCTGTCTACTACTGGGCGGAGCTCCGACATGTCACCTGGTCAAAACCCAACCAGGACTCGGCAGCCCAGACACTCTCCGAAGACTTGGTGAACGAGCTGAACGCCCAGCGTGAGGCCTTCCTCGCTGGAGTGCAAAACACGACTGTCCAGAGCAATTGCAAGGCGGACAATACCTCCGAGTACCTACCCCGGCTCGTCGAGCACGGAACATGGCGCAGCGCGCACAGGCGCGACGCACCAAGTGTCACGCTCGTCACCCAGCTCTCCCTGGATCGGCTGGACATGCTGGACGGGCAGTGCGCGACGTACGCTGGCGTGATTGCTGCAGCACTCTACGTTCCCCTGGTCAGGGGAGAGGGGGTGGTGTCACCAGCCGCCAAGGATTATGATGGGGAGCCCCTTGCTGCGGCCTCCCGAGCCCTCTCGGACTTTCATAAGGCGATGGAGCATACGGGTGAGCAGGCACGGGGAGGTCAGCTCCTCTGTCCTTGCATTGCAGGGCTGTAGGGATCCTGCCGAGCATGCAGCAGTCCATCCGCACGCTCATTGTTTGCTCCCTCCAGCGTCCGCCTGCACTGCCCCAGCCCCCCACCTTTTGCCCCGTCCACATGCAGCTGCGTGCACCCTGGATCTGCAGCTGGTGGGCGAGGAGTTTGACACCAGGGCGGAGGCCGGGCTGTATCCCTTCAATGCCATCAGGAACAGAGCTCTGATGCTTGCCCAGACGGAGGCAAGCCGGGGGGCGGTGCGAGTATGAAGCAAGCAGGGATGCCTGCCCTGATGAATGTGCTGCAAGGACCGCGCCTGCTCCTTGCGGGGCCTCCGAGAGAGTGAGGCCCCAGCTCCCTATCAGATGTGCGAGGGACACCCATCGCCCCTTTCCAGATTGTGCTTCTGCTGGACGTGGACTTCATGCCCTCTTTCTTCCTCTCAGAGGAACTGCATGAGCAGGAGCAGTACACCAGGCTGCGCGAGCGGTTGCGCCAGGGCCGAGTGATGGTCCTCCCTGCCTTCGAGATGTCCCGGCAGGAGGACGGCAGGGAGGTGGTACACAAGCTTGCGCAAGGTGCCTCGATGGACAGGGAAGGATGCCCACGGCAGTGTGTGCGCTGGTTGCTCTCTGCATGTTTGTTGGACAGCACGCATGAGCAGTGCAAAGGGGCAGTTGCATTGGGGCAAAATCCAACCCCGTCATCCCCTGGCAGGCGGCAAGCCTGCACTGGCCAAGGCATACACCGGCGGACAGGTGGCCGGATTCCAGATCAAGCTGTGGAGCCGGGGTCACATGGTCACAGATTATACCAAGTGGTGGACCGCCACAGAGCCGTATGCCGTCACCTTCAAAAAGGCAAGCCGTTGTTGGCGCCTGTCGCCCAGGATGTCCATGATGCTCAGGAGAGGGGAACGTCCCCCTCCTTGCCAATCGGAAGGGGCATGAATCTGGTGCAGCAGGGCTATGCTCCAGAAACTACCTCCCTGATATGCGTGCAGATCATGATCCAACCCCTGTGCCTGCATTGCAGGGCTACGAGCCCTACATACTGGTCCTGCGAGAGCATGTTCCCTGGTATGACGAGCGTTTCCGTGGATATGGCAGAGACAAGATTGTGCACCTGATGCACCTGGCAGGTAAAATTTTGGGGAATGCAGCGTGATGGGGAGACTTCTGAACTGGGGCATGGGGTGCCTAGTGACTCGTGGACCAACTCATTGCACCTCCATGCGGCTGACTGTAGCACACAACCCCTCCTACCCCCTCGCTTCCCCCCAGCACTGGGCATGGCCTTCGACGTCCATCCCAGTCAGTATGTCATCCACATTCCCCATCCCAAAGCGCCGACCTACAGAGCAACAAAGCGCAGCAAGCAGTGGGACTATGTGCGTTTGGAGCGGAGAGGGAGGGGCATGGAACCCGTGGCCCTTCGCTTGCAGATGTCTCGTAGGGGGGAGCCTGGCGGAATTGCATTCGCGGTGGCAACCCAACATCTCTCCGTACGAGACTCTGGCAGCTCTGGCATGCGAGCCCTGTGCTCCCTTAGTCCTCTTACGCAGCAAATTGACATAGACTCCTCCACCTCCTCCTTCGTTGCAGCTCCACAACCTGTTTGCGGAGGTGCAAATAGACATCTCAACCGGAAACTGGACCCCGGTCACCTCGTTCGCTGATCTCTGCAGAGAGGTCGGGGCTCGTGATAGCCTTAAACCTGTATTGGCAAGATTGTCTGCTTCTATCGACGACTCGATATAATTGGTGATCCAAGCATCAGCTGTCGTTGGAACATGCCCTCGCCCCCTCCGGCCAACCCGAATCTGAGATATTCCTTCTCGCATCAACTGCCATCCTTCAAAAACCTACAGCTGCAAGAGTGGCTCTCCGTGTTCAATGGTTTATGTATGATCAAATCAGTCGTTTCTGGTGTCATGATAACACGGTAGAGGTTCTTGGAGATGTGAGATTGTCCGTTTCAGGGCCTCGACGTTGTCCGACCGCTAGGATTCACGTGATTAAGAATTCCCGTCCGGGCGGTACATAGTAGGCGAGAATGAGGCAGCATTGGGAGAGGCCAGAAACACCGGCAAGTCCTTTACCTTTACATTTTATGAGTACTCTTGGAAATCTATGTGCTCATAGCCCGTGAACCTTGGTGTGGGGGTAAGCCTTCCTCGGCGACCCACCTAAAGACTCAGGAGGCTCATGGACTCCGGGGGCTTGGTAGCTGCGTATCTGTCATGCTACAAGCGGCGCTGAGATTGTAGATTATAAATGAGAAGGGAGGATTCTTTCGTGGGAACACGAGGGCTGTGGTGGTGATCACGGTCTCAGTGCCTTGTCGCAAGTCTTGCGTCCGTCATGGTGAGTCGAAGTGACGCGGCCCGACCACTGCTTCGTTGTCAAGCGCGGGCAACCAATGGATACAGAGGTGCTTCTCAATTGAGCTTGATGACATGTTACTCGGCTAGGAGGGTCTATATCTCCTTCTTTCCGGTCTGAAGATTTCACTCAACAACCTCCCCCTCGCACCCACCATCCGGCCGCAATTGACAGATAATGTTCTGTTTGCTGCCTTCCGTGCGCTGGCGCCAGCAAATGCCCGGCCCCTTCTTCAGACACCACGCCTGGGGCCTGCTCCATCAGCGTGCCCACTTCATGAAACAAATCGACAAGCTCGAATTACTGGGCAGCTGCCGTGCGGGGCAGCCGCCCGAGGTCCTCCCCCAGCTCCAGCATTGAAACACCTGGCGCAGTGACCGGCTGCGCCAGCCACATGGCATCACCCTAGTCACCCAGGCCTCTGCAGGTCGACTCCACATGCTGTAAAATCAGTGCACCACCTACTCCGACGTCATCGCGGCAGCCGTGTATGTGTCTCTGTTGAATGGGCGTTTGCACGCACCCCAACACAGCACCCTGCATGGGCAAACAGTGGGCACTTTACGGAAAGCTGTGGCCGAGTTCCACTCCAGGATGGAAGCGGAAGGTGGGTTGACGCGGCTGTAGCGGTCAGGAGCTCGTGTTTAGACTGGGCTGGGCAATATTTCCACAGAGGCCTGTCATGATGCTGGGAATCCTGCATGGATTGGTGTGGCACCCTCCTGAGGCCGCAGGAGATAATTGTTTCTGCAGGACTGCCAGCATGCCTCCCTGACAGTCATGCTACAAAAGCAGAAGTCCTTGCTTAGTGAGTGTGTGTCACAAAAACGAACCTCTCTGAGCTCATCATCCCCTAGCCCTCCTCCCTCCCACTGCTGCCCAGGCAGCTGCATGCTGGACCTCACCCTGGTGGTACAAGATTTCGACGATGTGGTAGAGGCAGACTACTACACCTTCAACGCAGCCCGGAACCAAGCCCTCCGGCTGGCCTTGACTGAGGTGTGTTGGGAGGGAGACCTTGGACATGAATGGGGCGTGATGCAGGGTCACTGCCAACCTCCGTGGTTGTCCTTAAATGAAGTGACACCAAGCATTGCCCATGACTTCGTGCTATTTGCTGTAGCACCGCCATCCATACCTCACTCCTTGCACCCCAGGCTGTGCTGCTGTTGGACGTTGACTTCATCTTGTCAGCCTCTTTCCTTGAGGAGCTGCGCTCCCCTAACGCCTATGATAGCCTCATCTCTCACCTGCATCAGCACCGCCTCCTCATCATCCCAGCCTTTGAGACCAACACTGACGAGGAGGACGGGGAGATGCTGGCTAAATCTCTGGTGGCAGGTGCGTCTCCGCATCAATGGAACATGTGCCGAGGATGCAACGGTCGCCCCTCCTTTGCATGGAGCCCAGGGTGTCGCCCACATCACAGTTTCAGAGCGATTCGCGCAGCGAAAGAGCCCAGTGTCGCCCCCTTTCCTCTTGCTGTCACAAACTTCTATCAGAGGGCAAGGATGCTGCGGTGGACGCGTTTCTGTCAAACGAGACAGATGTCTTCCAGAGGAGGTGGTTTCCTGCAGGCCATGCCTCTGATAAGACCCTGGAGTGGATCGATAGCAGCCAAATCTTCAGCACGGAATACACAGAGGTGGGTTGTATTAAGGAGATGACTTGGACAGCGAGCCCAGTGCGAGTTGAACCAGCCTCAGCTCCTGCTAGGTTGCTTTGGACGTATGTCTGATGCCCCTGCACATACTGGGAGAGATGCTGGGCTTGGAGAATGCCTGGACGCTTGCCATGCACTCGTGACGTATCCACATTCACATCTCGATCTCTGCAGAACTACGAGCCATATGTGGTGATTCTGCGAAAGGATGTCGTATGGTATGACGAGCGCTTCAGAGGGTATGGCTGGGATAAAATCTTCCACATTCTCAGCCTTGCAGGTGAGGCTCGGGCACCGGCTGCCGTGGAGGGGATTGGGGTAGTATGTCGCATCAATGTCAGTTCCCATGGTTGCAGGTACTGTGATGCAGCAGCACCGCGCGATATGGCGAGATTTGGAGCCCAAGCCTTTGCGATGGACCC